GTAGTGATTAACAGTATTGGTGTCCACTACTTTATATTAAATACAATATCCTCTTGCTGTAGTATTGAGTAGTGATTAACAGTATTGGTGTCCACTACTTTATATTAAATACAATATCCTCTTGCTGTAGTATTGAGTAGTGATTAACAGTATTGGTTTCCACTACTTTATATTAAATACAATATCCTCTTGCTGTAGTATTGAGTAGTGATCAACAGTATTGGTTTCCACTACTTTATATTAAATACAATATCCTCTTGCTGTAGTATTGAGTAGTGATTAACAGTGTTGGTTTCCACTATTTTATATTAAAAGCAAAATCCCCTCTTATTTACATTAGGAACTTAGTGTTAAAGTATAATAGTAAGTAAGATATATAAATATATTTAAAAGCAGTAGCTTACTGCTGATTAGTTGCCTTTCCCATACCTGAACGTTCCATTGAAACTTTAATTCAGAAACTGTTTAAAATCTGAAGGGTGCTGAAGTAGTTTTTACTCATTCAAAAGGATTTACTTATACAAAGAAATTACTAATATTAAACCTCTTAGTGATTAGGCTCCATAGCTGGAGAATACTGTTGTTGTTAAACCCCTGGAAGTAAAAAAAGAAATTAAGAAATTTGAAAAAGATTATCTGGTACTTTCAATCATTTATATATAACTTATTTTTCTGTTAAATACATTTCTTCAGTCTTTTTATTTTAAATGTTTTTAATAGAATAAATCAAGTATATGACTGTTAAAGTAACACATGAACTCGGGAAACACTGTACAAGTTCACTAAATGTTACTAGAACAGGAAATGTGCATTAACTCTTATGTTTAGAAAGGTGACTCATCCAGTATGCAAAATCTACTCGCTGTTTGTTTCCTGCAACTTCCATGATTTGACACTAGTACCCATTGTTCAGCTAGAATGGGTTCATGATTGATTGACGTTAGACATTATTTTAGGTCTTAAAACGTGATCTTATAACAACTATTCCATGCACTCTATTAGCATACTTAACTTTATAACCAATAATCAATCAATGCTACATTAATATACTTACTTTTATAATTACTAATCAATCAATGCTACATTAATATACTTACTTTTGTAATTACTAATCAATCTATGCTACATTAATATACTTACTTTTGTAATTACTAATCAATCTATGCTATATTAATATACTTACTTTTGTAATTACTAATCAATCCATGCTACATTAATATACTTACTTTTGTAATTACTAATCAATCTATGCTACATTAATATACTTACTTTTGTAATTACTAATCAATCAATGCTATGTTACTATACTTATTTTTGTAATTACTAATCAATCCATGCTATGTTAATATACTTACTTTTGTAATTACTAATCAATCCATGCCACGTTAATATACTTACTTTTGTAATTACTAATCAATCCATGCTACGTTAAT